GGGTTCCCACCGCTCTCTCGTGCTGGTGGGATCTGCAGACACTGTGGGCGCTCAGGGTAGGGCAGCACCGGACTCGCAGGCAACCTACCCTGAGGAAGGGTACGATCCCATCCCTGGAGATGGCTTGCAGAAGGCGGGGGGCTCCAGTGAGACTCTGCAATCCAGCCCCACAGGTGGAGAAGAACGAGCCAATGACAATGACCCACGGGGACGGCCACGCCAGGGTGCCAACCACCAGGTTCCCGTTGACAGCCTCGCCAAACCTGCGGGGCATCAGCATCACCTGCGGTTTCGGGGCATGACCGAGCCCCGAAAGCACCAGCACCACAGTGGCACAACCCAGCCCCCCACAACGACACCACTTTGGGGGGATGCGACACAACTGAGCAAGGGCCACCCCCTCAAGGGGTGAGCAATGGAGCAGAGGGTGCCAGAGGTCCGTCCTCATCCCTGTACCCGTTAGCGTGGCCAAGGACAAGGGCAGGTGTGGGACAGGACTCCTCGTCCCTGTGACGGGGATGATGCGTGCAGTTGGATCCTGTTTGTGTTGGTGCTGGCGACCCAGAAGTGTCACCTGCCACGTGCGGTGAGCAGGGCTGCCCCAGATAGGCAGGAGCACAGGCAGCCCTGCCTGTTGACAAACAAGTGTCTGCCTGCAGCCGCGGAGCGGGAGGAATGCAGCAAAACATGGATGATGGGGGTTGCAGGCCTCAGTGCCTGTTACAAGCTCCAGCCCCCCTGCCCGGTGACACCCACAAACCCCCCCAGTGCCCCAATATCTGTCCAGTGTATCCTGGTTGCAGCCTTCCCCACACCTCTGTCTGCCCCTGGGGCTGCCCCTGCCCCATCCTGTTCTGGGGGGCTGCCAGACTCTCCCCATGCCCCCATGGCCTTGGGACACTCACTTGTCACGCAGGACGACCCCCTCGATGCATGCTCCAAAGAGAACAACAGAGCTGATATCTGCCAGGTGGTCAAGGAGTGCCAGGAGGATGCAGAGTCCTGCCTGCCCAGCCAGTGGGGTGCTGGGACCCTGTTCCCAGCCCAGTGAAGCACCCAAGATCAACCTGCCCTGCAGAGCCCACCCACCCTCAGCCCCAGAGCCCAGGCTCAGGCAAGCTCTGAAGGATACAGACCGCAGAGGTGGTGGCAATGGCCAGGATGGTGCCCGTGGGGATGGACTTCTGGGCATCCCGCAGGTCTCCAGAGCGGTTGGAGCCAGCCATGATGCCTGGGGAAAGAGGGGATGGTGTCAGGGGGAGTGGAGCTACAGCCCATACCCATCCCAGATGCCCTCATGCCAGGCAACGCGTGAGCCCTGGGCACAGCGGGGCACTGCTCGGTGTGCATCACGATGGGAAGCAGACAGGATGGGCAGTGGAGAAGGCATTGCTGCAGCTTGGGGTACCCAGCCTGCTCTTCTCATCCCCCCCAGCGCTTCCCCCCCTACCCCAAACCGCAGTCTGAGGCCACTCAAGGATTAGGCTCAAAAGCTCTCAAGTGCCTTGTCTCATTAGCCCTTAATTAGCTCAGGCAGGGACGGTGGCTGCCGCAGGGGCAGGGACAGGGTCCAGCCCCGACGCTGCTCTGGGAGGGCAGGAGGTCAGGCAGGGACACGACTGCACAGGCGGGTTCAACACAGCCCGAGGGATGACCCGCGCTCCGGCCGCAGCAGCAGCCGGGGCAGGATCCCGCGGCACCGGGGGACAGGCGGCCTGCGGAAC